AGGGGAAGGGACCAAGGTGGTAGGAGAAACAGGGATTCCTTATCTAGCCAGGTTTGAATTGGGACAGATCATTTAACATCTCCACGCTTTCTCCCCTATTTCTGAACTGTTTGGGCCTTAGAAGAGGGGTGGGAAGATGGATGGAGAAAGGTAGCAAATGGTTAACCAGATGATTGTTTGCCATCTTTGATTCTATTTTTAGTATATACAATATTGAATATTGTCATAATACACTAAGATAAATTACATAAGATTATATTTTGAAATAGCTTCAATTCTTGATAGATTTGGATTCATTCTTTTTCTATATTGTTTCATGTAACCACAAACTTTGGTTTCAGCTACCAAGGTTGTTTTTTGGGAAAAAATTATTTCTTCTAAATCATCAATAGGTTTTTAAATCTTTGAGTATATTTAAAGAATTTGGGATAACAGAGATATCTTAATTACCTAGTGCTCTACTGTAAAAGAAATACCACAAGTGTATGATTTTTAGCAGAAATTTATTCTCTCACAGTTTAGGAGGGTAGAAGTCCAAGTTCAGAGTGCCAGCTCTAGAGGAAGCCTTTGTCTGTGTGTCTCTTGGTCCTCGGAGGATCCCAGCACAGGGACTCTGGGTGCAAAGGATGTGCTTCACTCCTGAATCTTTCCTGGTGGTAGTAAACCACCATCTCCCTCTCCTTTTATCTCTTGTAAGATAAAAGATGTTGCAGGTCATATCCCAAGGATATCCCTTACATGGAGCAGGGCTGTAATGAGACTAAGGGTATTGCATCCCATCCTTAATACTCTTACACCTGATCAGCTAAGCACATCAGATCACATCATGCATTATTATATTACATCATTCCATAAATGCTAAACCACTGAGAATCATAGCCCAGCCAAACTGACACAGTTTGGGGGGACGCAATACAACCCGTGACAAAGTATAAGAATTTTAAATAATTTTCCAAAGTAATTGTTACCCAAGTTATATATTTGAAAACCAAAATGGAAAAGAAATTGACTGAGTATTCTATCTTTTTAGTTGTGAGAAAGGTGGAGATTAAAAGTACTTGCTAAATACTATCTATGTGCAAATGGTTAACACACTCAGCTGTCAATCAAAAGGTTGGAGGTTCAAGTCTACCCAGAGGTACCACAGAAAAAAGCCTGGTGATCTGCTTCAGAAAACAGCCATTGAAAACCCTGTGGAGCTCAGTTCTACTCTGACACACGTGGGTTTGCCATGAGTTCAGGTTGACTCAAAGGAACTGCGTTTTGTTTGTTTGTTTACTGATAATTATGTATAAAATACAGTGCTAGGTATTGCGGAAGATACAGTGACCTCATCCTCATGGAGTTGACATGGTGAAGGAAGGGAGGAAAAAAAAACAAACACAAGTAAAAAGATTAAAAGATAAGAGTATTGGGGGGGGCACTGCAAAAATTGAAAAAAAATTAAAAATGGGAATTAAATAAGAGTATTAAAATTACAATAAGAGAAAAGTTTTGGGGGGGGACAAAGACTCTAAATGACTTGTTACTGTTCTGAGGGTCTAGAAGCCCAGAGTCTTTTGGTGTATTTTGCCCTAGTATGAGTTATTTAGGAGGTTTTGTTCAGCACTGGCCTTACCACTAGGTAAAAAGAATTTTGCTGAAATCCATCGACTGTATATAGAAGGACAGGAATTTCTCCACAGAAGTCTAATGTGTCAGTGATTTGGACTTGGGCTCAGACTAATTCCCGGGTATGGTTCTGCACTGACTGAAAAATTCAGAGCTGAGTTATTTTGATTGGAAGGGAGAAGACAGCTTCTGGAGGCCTGGTGGCCCTAACCAGAAAGAGGACTTGACTGTTCAGGTTTAAATATGAGAAATGATTACCAGGTGGTAGAAACCAAGTAGCTGACATACACATTTGTATTGAGCACTTCCAATACACATAAAATAGCAAGTTGAAAGGCAGCGTAAATTTCTTTTCACTAATAACAAATATTCTTCTGCTGATTTTGTAATGTGAATGAGACATTGGTCAGTATTTGCTTAGTGCTACAACATTGTCTAAGGATTTTTCTGTCTTTATACGCTAGAAAATTTCAAGAAGAATTTTTTCCTTTAGGCTTTTCTTAGAAATCAGTTTTTTTCCTTTCTAAAGACCAATTTATGTAAAGTTTTCTAGTGTATGAGAAAAAGGAGCCCTGGTGGTGTAGTGGTTTAAACAATAACCAGGAGGTTGGTGGTTCAAACCCACCAGCCACTGTAGGAGAAAGGGGAGGTAGTCTGTTTCCGTAAAGATTTACAGCCTTGGAAGCTCTATTGGGCAGTTCTACTCTGTCCCATATGTTCTCTGTGAGTTGGAATCAACTCAATGGCAGTAGATTTGGTTTTTTTAGTGTGTTAGAAAAAAAGACTGAGAATTTTTATCGTCAGTTGAAGAAACTATGTTCCCTTCTGACTTAAGCCTTTGAGCTCAATGTTAAACCCTCTAGGCCCACTGTCCTTTTTGTAGTTTAGTCACGTTTTTGTCATCAGCACTTTGCAGTTCTATCTTTGTTCTCTAGTGCTGCTATAACAAATGAAATTACAAATGGATGGCTTAACAAACAGGAATTTATTCTCTTACAGTTTAGGAAGCTAGAATTCCAATTCAGAGAGCCAGCTCTGGGGGCTGGGTGAAGGCCCATGGTTGGCAGGTAAAATGGGACAATCCCAAGATCAGCAGGCAACAGGGTAGGCCACTGGTTCAAGTCCAGGTTTTAGAGCTAAAAACTCGGCCATATGCAGGATTCAAATGTGCCAAAAAGCTACCAATCTGTCTCAAAGCTTCTCCTTATATACTTAAAGCAGGCCACACCCTGAAGGCAACTACTTAGCTGCGTACACATTCTACAGTGGAGGGGATTATAGTCTCATGATGGGGAATAACTATATCCAGCTGCCCAGCCACTCAGCCTCACAGCCCACCCAAGTTGATATACAACCTTAACTACCACAAGCCCCTACTTCTTTCTCCAAACTTATTTCTACTCATTTATTCTTTTTACCGTAACTACACTGGGCTTTTCTTATTACCTAAAATACAGTGTTTTCAGAAAACCAAACCTGTCACAATTCCAACTCATGAGAACTCCATGAGAGAGTAGAACTGCCCCATAGGGTGTCCAAGACTGTAAATGTTTACAGAAGCAGATCTTTCTCCCATGGAATGGCTGGTGGGTTCAAACCACCAACCTTTTGGTTAGTAGCTAAATGTTTTAACCACTATGCCAGTAGGCTCCTATTTCTAACTCACTAGAAAGCTTTAAAATGAATTATTCTTTAGAAAGGAGAAAAGCTTCTGTTTTCCAGAAATCTTTACAGAAGCAGATTGCCTAGCCTTTCTTCTGTGGAGCCACTGGGTGGGTTTGAACCACCAACCTTTAGGTTAGTAATGAAACACAAGCTAATTGCACCACCCCAGGTACCTAGTGCCCTCATAGAACTTGGTCTTTCTCCTTCTTGATTCTCATCATACCTATATTCATCCTCTGGTTTCTATGGGAGCAGGAACCACTTCTGTTCTGTTTACCATTATATCCTCAGCACAATACTTGACATATTCTAGATGCTTTCATTTTTTCATTTTGAAATTTTCTTGGTTTCAACCAAAAGCATTTATACTGATGTAAGCAGAAAAGGAAATTTATTGGCTCATGTCACTGAACTGTACAGGATTCGAGTAAAGCTTTATCCAGGATCCAGCTTTATCTGCAGGAACCCTGGTGACTCATTGGTAATTTCTCTCAGCTGCTAATGAAAGGTCAGTAGTTCAGACTCACCCAGTGGCTTGGTGGGAGAGAAGACCTGGTGATGTGCTACTGTAAAGATTACAGCCTAGGAGACTCTGTGGGGCAGTATATGCTATCGAATGATTTGCTGTGAGTTGGAATTGACCCAGCAGCACACAACACCAACAATAAGGATCAAGTGAAGTGGCGAGAACCTGGTTTTCTTCACCCTACCCCCAATTTCTTATTTCCATTTTTAGGTAGTTTCTCCCCTCAGGGTGGCTACTAGCAATTCTCAGGGCTGTATGTTAAGTCATTTGTAAGAGTTGAAGCAAGGCAAGGGAGAAAATTCTCTTTCTCCACTATTGTTGGTAAACCAAAGATACATGCTGTTGTAGTTAGGTGCTGTCGAGTCAGCTGACTCACCCCAACCCTGTGTACAACAGAACGAAACACCGTGGGGTCCTGTGCCAGCCTCCCGTTCCTTGCTATCCTTGAGCCTGTCGTTGCATCCACTGTGTCAGTCCATCTCATTGAGGGCCTTCCCCCTTGTGGCTGACCTTCCAGTTTACTAGTCTTTTAGCCAGAAGATGGGACTGTGCTAATTGGTTTAGGCAATCTCTAGAGCCAAGATAACTTTCACACAGACTGTAGGGATGCTGTGCAGTCAGGAAAAAGGGATTTCCCATAGTAAAGTCCTTCAGTGCAGCTTCAACTTCTTCCTTCAGTATCATTGGTTCGTGATCATCTGCCACCTCCTGAACATCAACCAATTCTTTTTTGGTACAGTGACTCTGTGTATTCCTTCCATTGGAGCTGCACTGAAGGAATTGGCAAAGAA